TGACTGGCTTACAAGCTTTCAAGAGGGAGCCTAGATCCAGAGGGCGGGGAGGAAGGTAGTATCTCCACAGTAGTATTCAATCTGTCTAGGTGGGGCTGATGAAAGGAAATGCAGATAGGTCTCTTGTGATACAATAGTGAATAATTGTTATCAGGACTGACTGTGAGGGTTGGAAATATAAAGGTAGATGTTTTGCAGCAAGGAGGGGAGTGGTTAACTTTGCAGTCTAGGAGCGGAGGTTCCTGGGACCATCAAGGGAGAAGAACAGAATGTGGGACCCTATTCAGAGCAGCAGTGATGCTTGAGATGGAGGCAGAGATGATGACACGGAGAGATGGAGCAGCTGGGAAATCTAGACCCAGAGAGGGAGAGGGGCTGTGTGCTGACGACAGGGGGCAGGCTTGATGATGCCTGTGGTTGGTTGATGATGCATGGAGGGGATTGTAACCATGGCAATGAAATGATATATGATAGGATGAATGTAAAACTAATGTTCTCCCATGTAAACTATCACATAATTCACAATAAAACATTAAAAGAAAAAAAATATATATATGGTTATCTAGCCAGTGTACTATTGTTTAGCAATAAAAAGAAATTACATGTTACAATGTGGATGAAACTGAACAACAGTATGCTAAATAAAAGACAGGGTCCTGGTGTGGAGTTGTGGGATAAGCACAGGACTGCTAACCACAAGGTTGGTGGTTCAAACCTACCAGCTGCTCCTCAGAAACCCTATACAGAGTCCCTATGAGTCAGAGTCAACTCCACAGAATTTAACGAGTGAAAAACTCCTAGCACAAAGGTCTCCACATTATATGATTCCGTTTATAAGAAAGGCAAATCAAATCAGTGGTTTGGTGGTAGGTGTGGGATTAACTGCCAGTTGTGGTGAGGAAACTTCTGGGAGTGACATAAATGTTCTAACAGTGGATTGTGGCGATTGTTGCACAACACTGTTCTAAATTGAAAAACCTGTCTCCTAATTGCTTCTGCAACCACATGTCCCATTTTCTTCACATACCCTAAACTCACTTCATATCCCCAGGAGCCTCATGCTTCCAAACCTTTCCTCAGGTTATCCCTTCTGTCTGAAAGGTTTTTCCTCCCAGTCTCCACCTATCACAACATCATTCATTCTCCATGGCTCAGAACAAATGTCGGAATGCCAGAATCAATTCTTTCCTCCTCTGCCCTCTCACTGAGCATTCTCCGCACATCCTGAGAACCCTTGTGTTTGTGCACAGCTGTTCCCTCACTGTGGGGCAGTGCGCTCCTTGAGGGCAGGAATCTGATCTTATTCTTCCACAACATTCTAGCAAAGTACCTGGCATATCATCAGTACTTGGTCTGTGACTAAGTTTATGAATGAGTGGGCAAAGCTATGAAGAACAAGTAAGAATGCAGTCAGTGGGTGAGGTATAGATAGACCGTTGTTAGGAAAGCAGTTAAACTGCAAAACAGTAACCGTAAGTAAAAGGACAATGATAAAGACGCTGACCTATTTCTTACCTTCAGCAAGCAGCCAGCAAACACGAGGAAGCCTTGTGAATGTAGGTGATTGGCCAAGGAGAACCCAAATCCGGAATCACAGCCTGTGATCAGGACAGCCTTACTGCCAACCTGTTTGAGAAGGCCAGACCCCACATTAGTCCCCCAGGGTCCTGAGGACAGAGGGACCCAGCCTCCCCACCCTCTGGGCAATAACAATTGACATTTCCTGAATGGCCCAAGCCGGGCCCTACCTCCTGGGCTCTTGCTGTCTGGAGAGACATCATGGTAGAATGGGAAAAGCCCAGACTCTACCATCAATTAATAGTTTTGCTTGGGAAAGTTATTTCTACTTTGTGGGTCTCCATTTCCTCATCTACAATCACATTCTCACCATCACCACTACAATCATCATCATCTGTGCATACACTGCTGGTGGTGGTGCGCCACCAAGTCGGTTCCAACTCACAGTGACCCAGTATAGGGTTTCTGAGGCTGTAAATCTTTACAGGAGCAGAAAGTCTCATCTTTCTCCCACGGAACAGTTGGTAGGTTCGAACTGCTGACCTTGTGGTTTAGCAGCCCAACTCGTAATCCACTATGACACCAGAGCTTCTTGTGTAGAGACTAATCCTTACACTGCCTCATAACTATGATTATAACATCATGTTACAGCTGAGGAAACAGATTTCTTTTCTTTACATCTCATTGTAATGAGGACTGAGAGATTCCAAAGAACAAACTCACAGCACCTAACTTCATTAAGAAAGCCTCTGTAAATGCAATGTAAGCCCTAGTAATGTTAGGGACCAAATGAGAAAGGGGTTCCTGAGGGGTGTAAAGCTGTGTTCTGAGAGTGGCTGGGGGAGGGGCTTCAGACCACCCAACTTGTTTCCAGAAAGAAACTCACCGGATTCACCTGGCCAGCATAAGTTCTACGGCTGACAGGAGCAAAGGAGCTGGAGGAAAACAGTAGCGTGTGCCTGCAAGAGAAAACCGAGCCATGCATACAGGCTGTGCTCACCCCCTTGTCCCAGGGGCACAGTAATTCAGAGGCTACCACCCAGCCAAAAGCAGCACTGATTTTTGCTCCCACCCAAACACCTAGGGACACTCTGATAGAGCAGCCCTATCCCCACCAGGACTGCTAGGCTGATAGGAAGAGGGCCTATAGCAGCTGTTGTTGTTCTGTTGTTATATGCCATGGAGTCGGTTCCGACTCACAGTATCCTGTACAGGGTTTCCGAGGCTGTACATCTTTACAGGAGCAGAAAGCCTCATCTTTCTCCTGCGGAACAGCTGGTAGTCTCGAAATGCTGACCTTGCGGCTCGCAGCCCAATTCGTAACAACTACACTTTGTCACTGTGTAGATAGAGAACAAAAGTCCTGAGAACAAAAGTCCACCCAGAAGCTACTGTTGTTGTGAAGCCCTGACAAAAATTCAACTGTCCTTGTCCAACCCCAAGATAATTCTATCTTCTTTTCAAGGTGACAGAGATAGGAAACATATCAGATGAATTCACGTGTGGACCACCTTTCCAAACAGAATGCTTTATTCAGAAAGCCTCTGCAAATTCAATGTCTTAACCTCTACATATGGGGCCACCAAGTGTTGGAATCAATGCAACAGCAACTAGCAACAAGCAAATGCTGTTTCCTGACAGTTTTTATTTTTACTTTTTACTTTGATCTATTTAGATTCACATGGAGTTTCAAAAGTCATACAGACACATGCCCTTTTATATTTGACCCAATTTCCCCAATGGTGGTTGTTGTTGTTAAGTGCCATTGAGTTGATTCCGACCCAAAGCAACCCTGTATCGGGTTTCCAAGGAGCAGTTGGTCAGCTTGCAGTTCAAACGACTTTGCAGTCTGACACATTAGCCCACAGCGCCACACCAGTATATAGTAAAACTGTAATTCATAGTGTATTCCAGCCAGGATTCTGCCATTGACACAGTCAAGATTCACAACATGTCCATCCTCACAAGGAGCCTTTTGTTGCCCTCTTATAACCATACCCATTGCCTTCCCATGCCACTGCCTCCTTAACTTGCAGTAACCACGAATACTCTTCTCCATTTCTATGATTCTGTCATTTTGAGACTAAATGGAACCATCCAGTATGCACGGAATTGGCCTTTTCCGCTCAGCACAGTTCTCTAGAGATTCATCCAAGTTGTTGCATGACCAATAGTTTCTTTCAATTGCTGAATAGCATCTGAATTATTTATAGTTTGGGCTCTTAAGAATAAAGCTACTCCAGATATTCTGAACAGGTTCCTATACGAACTTAAGTTTTCATATCTTTGGAGTAAATGCACAGAATAGTAATTGCTGGATCCTACGATGGTTGCAAGGAGCTCTGGTAGCATAATGGTTACAAGTCTGCTTGCTAACCTCAAGGCCAGCAGTTCAAAACTACCAGCCATTCCACAGGAGAAAGATGAGGCTTTCTGCTCCCATAAAGACTTATAGCCTCGGAAACCCTTCATAGGGTCACTGTGAGTCTGAACCGACTCCATGACACACAACCACCACCACCGTGACAGTTGCATGTTTAGCTTTTTAAGACACTGCCAAACTGTTTTCCAAAGTAGCTGTAACAATTTTACGTTCTCAGTAGCAATGTGTACAACAGCCAGTTTGCATTTAGTCGTCATTATTTTACATTAGCCATTCTGAAAATATATAGTAATATCTCACTGTGGTTTTAATTTGCATTTCCCTAATCACTAATGGGAGTCCTGGTGTGGTGCTGTTGGTTAATGCGCCAGACTGCAAAGCTGTTTGAACTGCAAAGTCAGTGGTTCAAGCTCATCAGCCACTCCTCGGAAACCCTATACAGGGTTGCTATGGGTCGGAACTGACTTGATGGCACTTAACAACAACAACAGATCACTAATGACACCGAACACCTTTTCATGTGCTTTCTTGCCATCTGTACTTTGTCTGATAAAATGTCTTTTGCTCATTTTTTCTTTAGAGAAAATCTGTTTAATTTTGAGCACTTTTTTCTTTATATTCTGGATGCTAGACTTTTGTCATAGATGTGATTTTCATATCTTTTGTCTTTTCTTCCTCTTAACAGGATCTTTCAGAGAGAAAAGGTTTTAATTTTGATAAAGTCAAAATTTTCAACTCTTCCTTTTATGGATCTTATCTTTTGTGTCATCTAAGAACTCTTTAATTAGCTCCAGAACTCAAAGATGATTTTCTCATACGTTTTGTTCTAAAAGTTGCACTGTTTTACATTTAAGTCCACGATCCATTGTGAGTTAACTGTATAACATGTGAGGCAGTTTGAAGTTCCTTTTTTTTTTGGCTCCAGCACCATTTAAAAAATATATATTATCTCTCCTTCATTGGATTGTTTTTGTACTTTTGTCAAACATCAGTTGTGCATATTTGTATGAGTTTATTTCTGGGTTCTTTATTCTGTTTCAATGACTTATATATCTAACCCTCTGCAAATACCACAGTCTCAGCTGCTGTAGCTATAAAATAAATCTTAAATTTAATAGATTGATTCTTCTCACCTTATTATTTAAAAAAAAATTGTTAAATTGTTTGAGCTATTCGATTTCATGTGCTTTCCCAAGTAAATTTTAGAAGAATCTTGCCTACATAAAAAGTTTGATAGAAATAGTACTAAATCTGTGTGTGTATCAACTTGAGGAAAACATCTTTACTATGTGAGTCTTCAAATCCATGACCGTGGTATGGATTTATGATTAATTTCATTAATGTTGTATAGGTTCCAGCATACAAGTTTGTTATGTGTATGTTTTGTTAGATTACACTTAAGTAATTCTAAATACACCTACCTAAGCATTTTATATCTATTGTAAATTACATTGTATATTTAATTTTGATTCAAATGTTCTTATTGTTCCTGCAACCTTGAATTCACTTATTAGTTCTAGGAGTTTATTGTTGTTGATGTGTAGATTTCTAAGACTTTTCTATGTACAGAATCATGTCATCTGAAGAAAAGGGCAGTTTTATTTCTTTCCTTCCAATCTAGACATAGCTTTTTATGACTTTTTGTTACCTTACTGCACGAGTTAGCACTTCTTGCATAATGCCAAATACAATTGGTAAGAGTGACCATCCGTCCCAATCTTAAAGTTAAAGCTTCAGTCTTTCAACCATTAACTATAATGTTAGCATAGATTTTTTTGTAGATGCATTTTATTAAGTTGAGGAAGTGTCTGAGTTTATTTTCCTAAGAGCTTTTTTTAAAATCACAGATGGTTGCTGAGTCTTGCCAAATGTTTATTCTGGATTGATAAATATGATTCTGTGATTTTCACTTTGGCCTGTTAATATTATGTATCATATTAATTGGTTTTTAAATATCAAACTATCCTTGTATTCCTTGAAAAACCCTTTCGTCATGATGTATGATTACTCTGTTAATACACTGCTGAATATATCTTATGAATATTGATTTTGCATTTTAGGATTTTTCCATCTATATCAATGAGCGATACTAGTCTGTAGTTGTATGCCTTTGTCTAGCTTTGATATCAAGGTAATACTAGCTTCATAAAATGTATTGGGAAGTGTTATTGTGGGGTGGGGCTGGGAGTTTCGGTCCCCACTAGGCTCCACTATACCTCCCTGTCTGAGAGTGGTCGGAGTACCTCATTACTGTCCCTAAAGTGGGAGGGGTGAGGCCTTGCTATTGCTCGGTGGTAGGAAAAAGCCTGAGTCTGTTATGAGTTGAATTGTGTCCCCCAAAATATGTGTTATAAATCTTAACCTCTATGTCTGTGGTTATAATCCCACTTGGGAATGGGCTGTCTTTGCTATGCTAGTGAGGCAGGATAAGTATAGGGTGTTGTTGTTGTTAGCTGCCTTCGAGTCAGGTCTGACTCATAGCGAACCTGTATAGGGTTTCTGAGGAGAAGCTGGTGAGCTTGAACTGCCGACCTTGCAGTTCAAACCGACCTTGCAGTCCAGCGCATTAACCTTCAGTGCGATGTCAGGACTCATTGAATCAATTTCTTTTGAGTTATAAAAGAGACTAAATAAGCAAGTTAGCAAGCACATAAGGAGGAAGATAGATGCCAAGCCACATGGAGATTTCCAAGGAACCAGGTAACTAGCTGAAGAGACAAGGATCATCCCTCAGAGCCAACAGGGAGAAAAAGGCTTCTTCTAGAGCTGGTGCCTGAATTTGAACTCCTAGCTCCTAAACTGTGAAAGAATCAATTGTTTGTTAAAGCCATCATTTGTGATGTTTCTGATATAGCACTTCTAGATAATGAAGACAGCCTCCTTGGATATATGTCCCACAGGGAGGAGTGCCTTGTTACTGCTGGGTGGGGATGGAAGCCCAGACCCTGTATGCAGCCTTCTCTGACATCACTTCCAGTGAGGGAGCTACAGTACCGTGTCACAGACTGGTGAGGGTGTAAGTCTAGGCTCCGTGCTGACTTTTGCAAGTGTAGGTTGGGATGGGAATACAATCATTTTCCTTTGGTGGTTGGCTGAAGTACAGTTACTGTCTTAAATGTGTCTGCTTTGTTAGGATGCCTCTCTGCTGGCCCTTTGGCTAGAGATAGCAGGCTTGCTCTGTGCTCACTGGCAGATCTAGATTGTTGGTTTTTTCAGCTCCAGGTCTGGGGCATAACAAGCTAAAAGAAAACCCAGGGAACTCTCACCTTCTTGGTCCTAAGACCCCTAACCAGTCTGTCTTCCCTCCATCTATGAGAGTTTCCTTATGCTACCTTTATATGTGATGGTCAAAGCTTTTACTGTACCTAGCAGGAGGAATAGAAAAAACGTATCAACTACATCTCTGAAGGAGTTAACTTTTAAATGAATATTTAACCAGTAACAACAATTATGGGCACCATGGTGGTACAATGGTTAAACATTTGGATATTAAACGAAAGATTGAAGGTTTGAACCCCACGCAGTGGTCCCATGGAAGAAAGACCTGGTGGTTTTCTCCCATAAAGATTACAACCT